CAACTGTATTAGAAAGATTGTATGCTAAGAAGACTACTATCGAAAGCTCCTTCTTTCAACCAGTGCTGCTTGAGCTGAATGCAGTTCTTACTTTATATCGTGTTCCAGTTTTCTTCTTTCCACATTATCTGATTTTTTTTTACAGGGACATCAGCGTGCCCGAACGCCAAATTCCATTGCTTGAATCGCGGCTTCAAGGCGGAAGACATACCATCAAGTCGAGTGAATGATCAAATTTGTGGTTGGTTCATCTCACATTGCTGAACTGTTTGTTAAAATACAGCTTCAAAAAACCAGCGACACCGACAGGAGGAGAATTGCACAGCCAGAATGAATAATAAGTAGTGTAATAAAGCTGTTTTTGAGAGATCTGGGTGCTCGGCTCCAGTGGTAACATGTGCCAGCAGCAACCACCTTATTGATGGTTTTCGTTTTTCTGTGGATTGCTTAGAAAGAAACTAACGGCAGTTTTGTTAAATGTTTCAATACCAATTTACCATCGAAACGAATGAACGAACTGTCGAGGGACTGGTGATCGTAGTGGCGGAGCCGAAACTTCAATTTCTAGCTTGTTACGAATCAAAAAGAAAATACAGAAACGGGAAGAAAATAGCAGAAAAAAAAACACAGATGCACAAATGAGCATGGCATACTTTAAAATATGCGCCAAAATAAGGGCACAGAACAGACGCACTGACAAACGTGGGACGGTTTCTCGAGTGGACCAGTTGTTAGCGTTAAATTGTTTAGACTGTTGTGACGGAAGTGATGAATGGGATTCGGCGGTGGATTGCCCAAATGTATGCAACGAACTGGGCTCGAAGCATCGCGAAGAACTGCGTCAGAGATACGAATTAGCTAAGAAGGTAGGCTGATGCGTGGTCTTGGCAATTTTATTTATTCATCTGACTGATATTCCGATTGTTAAAGATCACACTGGTCGATTGGACTGTCGGTGTTTCTGATGCTGGAGAGGTAGCCACAGACGAAGTGCATATATGTTTTATCCTGCATTTTGAGCTTTTTGCCTTCATTTCTCACTGCTACGATTCAAGATTTACCTTCTATAGTAACAAAAAGAAGTGCGTCACAAAGGCCAAATTTGTTATTTCGTAAAAATCAGTCGTGCTTGTCAGGATGCTGGTAAATTTTTAGGGTCACATTAAGCGACTGGAGCTGGCAAAAATCGGACAGCAGCTGAAATCCGAAAAACTAGAAACCATGGAAAAATTGAAAGAGGAGAAGGAAGAAGTGGAAAAAATCCGAGCGGAAGCCGAGGCGCTGAAGAACGAGAAAACTGAGAAGGAAAGAGAAGCAAGGCAAAAGCATGATGATGCTTGGGAAGGTGCGATTTTTAAACTTTTTCCAATGCAGGACAGTGGAGAGGGGATTTTTCTTTTAAGAGCATGACTAAATAAGCCTTATGAAAAGGGAAATGTGAAAATTGAATTCGAAACATAAAATTAAACCGAAGTATTATAAATTTTTGCTAAAACCATGCATAATTTAGGTGAAATTGTGCACTAGAGGGTTACTTGAATTTTCTGAGGTAAGCGTAGAAATTTCTCAGCTGTGCTATGTAATATCAAAATGCAAGAAATTTTGTCCGAAACAGTGTATTCATTGCTAAGAAGCTAGAATGATGCCATATCTGAGTAGGTGGTGTAAGAGGAGGAGATAGAAAAGGTGAGAGAAAGGGGAGGAGGGGTTGAAGTGGAAGGAAAGGCGGGGGATTGGGGGTGCATTGAAACCTGGAAGCGATGTGCTCTCCTCCGTAACACAGGATGGGTGTGTTTACACTGCTGCTGCTGCTGTAACGGCTAGTTTCAAATGTACATTTTAGTTAAATTTTTGCTTAAGGATGTGATTCGTGTAGGACTGACCGTACTGTATTGTTCCGCATTAGATGTAGATGGAAAAACTTGACAGATGATTTCGC